GGTTAAAGAGAGTGGGTGAAAGGAAATAAGAGAGGGGGTGAGAGAGAGAGAAGGAAAGTTACCCAAGTGAGAGAAAAATGTGAGAGACAAAGTTCCTAATGAAGTTCACAAATCATTAAAAAAGTTACCGAGTCACCTTTTTTTGGTTATCACCAAAAGTCAATTGAAATCAAGTTCATGAATCATTAAAACACTAAGATTTTGCTTTTCAAAGCTCAAAACAACGACTGTAAATAATTGAATATGTACCGCTAGAACCATAATCCAGTAAGGTAATACACAATGGTTGTAGCTGCATGAAGCAAAAACAGAGAGCTAATAGCCTAAAACCAAATAGAAATCAGAGAATAGAGAACACACAAAAGACGGGGCAATGATGATTCGTAAAAGCCAAGGCACAACAGACCATTTCTGTTGTAAGAATGCACCTTGTGTCCTTATGAAACAACAAAAAAAATTACAGCATTTATCATATTCAATTTCTCAAGTAAACTCAAAACAACAACTATGTAAGTAATTGACTATGTATCGCTAGAACATAATCCAGTAAGGAAATATGCAAATGGTTGAAGCTGAATGAAGCAGAAACAGATAGCTAATAGCCTAAAACCAAATAGAAATCAGAGTATAGAGAACGCACAACATGGGGTAATGATGATTCGTAAAAGCCAAGGCTTAATACGCAAGCTGAATGAACCAGAAACAGATAGCTAATAGCCTAAAACCAAATAGAAATCAGAGAAGAATACAGAACGCACAACACAAAGCGTAATGATGATTCGTAAAAGCTAAGATACAAAAACCATTTATGTTGTAAGAATGCACCTTTCATCCTGATGAAACAACAAAAAAACAAATTAGAGCATTTATCATCTTCAATTTCTCAAGTAAACTCGTAAAAGAAAGCTACCAAAACTTACAATTAAGTAAAAAGGTTCGAAAGTGAAATTTTTCATATGCCACTAGGTTTTAACCGCACAAATTACAGGGCTATTTTTTTTATTTTTTATTTTTACAATGGTAACATGAAATTTTTCAGATGCCACTTGTCTTTATTAAAATATTCTATGAAGTAATAGCCCATTTTGTTCGACATGCATACTAATGCTTATTTAATAAACATAAAAGAAGTGTCAAACATACTTCTCAGTGTACCCTGTTATTAAACTTATACATTTAATTATTCATTCATTCACAAAATAACAAAGTATATCAACAAAATACAGCAGTAATGCAATTTATAAAATTTCCATCATAATATACAACATTACAACATTACAGAAAAAAAAAAAACTACCTTTTTTCCCCTAACTCCAGACACATCTATATGTCACTGCTAACACTTGCGCCTGGACTCCATCTTTAGTCAAATGCGGCTGAGTTTTTTCCCTATATACATGCATGAACCTAACATCTTTATCAGCAGAATGATCCACCTTATCCCAAAGCACCATAAGAGACCATGGAACCTCCATTTCCTTCTTACACCAACAAATCACATTCATGGAATCACCCTAAATGAACCACTTATCACCAAATTGCTCAGCCAATTTAATCCCTTGTAATATTGATCTCATTTCAGCCTCATTTATTGTAATAATATCCACATGCCCACAATCTCTCTCTAAAATTGTCCCAATACGATCCCTAACTACCCCTTCAATACCAGCATCTCTAGGGTAACATTCGATCCATTTCCTTCTTACAGCAACAAATCGCATTCATGGAATCACCCTAAATGATCTACTTATCACCAAATTGCTCAGCCAATTTAATCCCTTGCAACACTGATCTCATTTCAGCCTCATTTGTTGTAATAATATCCACAAGCCCACAATATCTCTCTAAAATTGTCCCAATACGATCCCTAACTACCCCTTCAATGCCAGCATCTCTATGGTAACATTAGATCTCATCATTGTTCAGTGACCCAACCGATACCCACTCAGCTAACTTATGTTCTCCATTGAATCCATCCACTCCATCCCCTTCCCCTCAAAACATCTTCAATTCCTCTCCTTCCAAAGTTCCCACACAAGAGCCCCTTTAATGACTTTTCAAAGTGAATTTCATTCACCCTTGAAGATGCCATTGTGTGAAAATATTACACACATGCACTGTAACATCTACTGTAGCACCTCTTCCATCAATATCAAATTCCATATTTTCCATGATACTCACAAATGCAAAAACAGATGGCCATTGTGCTCTTCATCCTGTTTACAAAGAATACATATATTTGTTAAAATTCTCCCCCTTTTTCTAAGCAAATGAATAATCAGCAGCCTGGTAATGCTAAGCTACCAAATAAAACATTTTAATTTCATTGGAATTGGCAACTTCCAAATTGGCCCACCTCGTCCATCTTCTTCTATCGGTAAAGAGCAAGACATATGCCTAACTAACAGTAAAAGCCCCTTCTTTGGTTCCCAAATGATCCTATCTCTTTTTCTTGGACAGTTATTGAACTCTTATGACATCTGCAAACACCTAAAATATTGGTCCACCTCCACTTTCACAATCGTGTTGTAGATGCGAGTAATATTCCGGATGGCATCATATCCATATCAAGTGACCATTTCTTTAATATTTGAATTGTTTGAAGTCACTTTTTCAAACAAAGCTGGGAACTGTATACCTTTGTATAAATGTCCCCCATCCACTTCTGTTGCCAGAATCTGTTTTGTTCCCCATCTCTTCCAAATCTGAGTTATACCTTTCTTGTTTAAATCCTAAACTACCATATTACGTTGTAGGTCTTTCCCATGTCTCAAACCCGTTCCACCTAGCTTCACAGGGATACAAACCTTAACACAAGCCACCAAACAGATGTTTTTTTTCCTTTCTTTTTCTCCCCACAAAAACCACTTTTCACGGACTTGGCAATATCTCTTGGTATTTATTCTAAACAAATATCTCTTGGTATTCTAAACAAAGACATAGTAAACTGGTAAGTTAGACAAAGTCGACTTAATTAAAGTCAATCTCCCTCCCATGGAAAAAAATTTAGCTTTCCATAAGTCAAGCTTAAACTGTACTCTTAGGATCACAGGGTCCTGGATCTAGGAGCCCCTGACTCAATTAGAGGTAATCCCAAATACTTTAACAGGAAACTTCCCATAAGTCAAGCTTAAACTATACTCTTTGGATCACAGGGTCCTAGATCTAAGAGCCCTTGACTCAATCAGAGGTAACCCCAGATAAAACTTCCTTACGTCCAGCCTCCACTCTAAGCATAACACTAAATATTTCAGCCATTAAGGTAAACAAAAAAAAGGGGATAGTGGATCACCATGTCTTGCACATCTTGTTGCTTTGAAAAAGGCTTTTGATATCAAAACTGAAAAATGGGCAAAACTAAAACACTCCTCAATCCAAGTTATCCATTTAACCCGAAAACCCATTGCATCAATTACTTTCAGAAGCACACCCCAGTCTACCTTGACATAGGCCTTTTCCAAATCAATTTTAGATGTTAAGTCTGCCTCCCCCCTAGCTTTACACTTTTAGCTCACAAAACATTATCTACTATATGTCTCCCTTTTATAAATGCAGCTATGTAGCCCATTACAGGGCTTATTCTTCTCTACCTAGCATTAGTTGACAATTCAAATAAATAAATCTAGAGCCATCCCATACATGTTTTTCATGGGGGTTGCCCCAATGCATAACTACTCCTCCCATTTCACCTCCCCTTCTCCCTGTACTAAGTGTCTTCCTTTCCTCTGTTTGCAACTCCGGGAGCAACTTGGTGCATCCGTTTCCCTTAACTTAGCTTTCAAAAAAATAAAACTAAAAGAAAAGGATCATAATTCCTAGCTTAATACTTAGGAATGATACCCAACTTTAGGCTTTTTAAACATAGCAGTTTAATTCTAAAATTCACTTACAATTTGTCTCCCAAAATTACATCCCCATGAGATGTTCATCTAACATGATTGCAGAAACCATCAACCATAATAAAAAGGTTCACAAGACAAGCTTCCGAACAACATGCTAAGTCACTGAAATCACCTTTAAATATCAATTCCAAAGAAAAAAAATTACCTCAAAAAAAAAGATATCAATTCCAAAACTTGGTACCATTCCCTAGAGCTAGTGAGTGGGGGTTGCCCCA